TTCTGACTTCTTAAGGAAATCTGTCTAATATGGACTTAATCTTGAACGATGAATTATGCATCAAATTTGCAGGTAGTATAAACTTGTGCAATATCCTCGCATTAGAGGAAGCCGGCCTATTGTATATTTGAATTATCGGATAAATATCTGATAATTCTCGATGTTTTAGATTGGTATTAGACAGGGTCTACAGCTGGGTGGTGGTTTAATTTTTTTAAACATGGAATTCTCTAAGACCTATCAATGTCTTAGATTGATAGGAAAACGTATAACGTGTGGAGGTAAACAAGGAATGTTGGCCGAAAACACACAACATAGGAATGGAAAGAGATAGTGTGAAACCTTTGTATTTTTTGGCAATCTCAGAATCTTATGCAAACACTACGGAATGCTAAATGCAGTGCCTATTCATCTCTCGCATAATAAATACATAAATAAATGATTTTAATTAATATGTAGATAAACTTGGAAAGGTGCTACCGGATGTAAACGGCAACCTTGCAATTCCGCGACTGACGAATATCGAAGTACAACTTTCATGAAAAAGGTAAAATAATTCTCCGATAATTATCGATCTAAAACTTCGATAGTTAGACAATTGGAGGTTGGAATTTAAGGTTGGAACCACATCCAACAGACACGGATATTGTCAAATAATTGTCGAAGTATTAGAATGATACAATGGGCAACATTGTTTGATAATTCTCTGATAATTATCCGATAACATTATGCAAGATCCCGCCTTCACGGACTTTCGAGCATCATGGCCGGACAACACTACAGTTGGATTTCCAGTATTAACCCACAGGACATCCTGGTTATATCAAGGCAGTAAAAGGTCACGCACTGCTAGTCAGATTAAGTTTGACACAAGTATACTGTGTGTCGGAACATAGTGGTGTCGGAACATAGTGGTGTCGGAACATAGAGATGTCGGAACACAGGGCAGTCCCCCCTTCTCAGACACCCCCCTGTTCGCGCAAGCGCGGACATTGGCCGTTTACGCGGACACAAAAGTGTCCCCCTCACTTTTCAGAATGGATCGACGCCCCTGCACTTGCATCAATTACCACCGGTGATTCCTTCGATACCTTCCAATCACCTAAAAAATACTTAATTGAAGTGGTATTTTGCTGCTGTATCTCCCCTCTCTGCCGGTTTCAAGACCGTCGTGAGACAGGTTATTTTTACCCTACTGATGTAATATAATGGAATATAATGTCTCTGTCTCAGTGACTGATTCGGTTTTGTCATCCTAACTTGTTTGCTTGCGCCACTAACTCTTGCCTCGACTTCTGTTTGTACTAGGTGATGTGCGCAACAGTCAAAATCGCCATCTTTGTTTATATGAGACCCATATATCGCGCATGCGTGGTACGACGACTAACGCCCCTTAGGTGACAATGTTTACTAATAATACCTATACATTTTTCACTTCACCATATTTCAGTTTATATTAATTGCCCACATTAATTTCTATAAATAGCGACCATCAACCACACGTTTAAATCACTTCCTAGGCCACGTGTTACTGAAAGTATGCATACATTATTAAATACTAGTAATATTGGTTACTCTTACTGACATAGCTGTTGCCATTGTTTACATGTAGACATGTCACAGTAATTCGGACAGCTGTAGAATGTCAGTATCAAGAATCATATGCTGTATATAAGATATTATGATAGTACTAAATTTAATATTAATTAATGATATAGAAGACGAAGGTCACCTCTAGTTAAGATGGGCCAATTTACTATAATCTAAGAGTCAGGTATGATCCAAAATACTACTAGAACATTACTTTTATAAAAAAAACAGCTAAAATTTTGACAATATCTGAAATGTATGATGTACTACCACATTCACTGTTCCAGTGATCTGCATTCTACACTTTGGCCGTATGTTGAAACTGGAATAAATTACCATATCATTACAAGTTATAATAATTGCAAACTAATAATTCAGCCAATGGAAGAACGGGAAAGGATAGTATAACTCTTTCCATTGTTTCTCGACACGTTGTATTTGTACGTGAAAGAGACGTTTGCTAGGTACGATAAGAGGCATTTAGACATAAATCATTTTGCAAACTTTTATCACGAAATTGCGTAAACTTTTGTATTTATTTCGTAATTTCAGAATATTCGGAAGATAGAGAAGCTGTGCAGCTAGGTGATACGGGCGATGGTAATAGTAAAGACGCCATGTTTAATATAGTGACAGCCAAAGATAGATTTGGAGTTGCTACAACAAAGAATTTTCTCTCTCGCGGTACCACAATTCCCACATGTAAAGGTAATGAACGAGATCTCACAAAAGTTAATACCGGTCCTCCTATTGGGATGCTAACGCGGATAGATGTTGAGCAAACCGAAAAATGGAAGAGTGCAGCCCACCACACGCCAATTATAATCATGATACTGAGTATTATAACCACAATCGCAATTGCTATTCCTATTGCCGTTCTTATAACGTATCGTAATCGACGCATAACACGGTCCAAGAGAAAGAATCCCTTTTGAAGAGGTCGACAAATTTCGTCGAGCGTGGCCATGAGAGAGCGTCAATAGAATGCAACACAGACACACATCCCGAGTGTTCGGATATCGATGACCAAAATAACAACAACAACGAAGATGAATGTACCGAAAAAATAAACCTAATAAAAAATACTATAATTTGGACGTGCAAGACGACACCAAACGCTTGCCAAACAAACACTCATACGGTGGGTCATACTATACGTTAAACGTAGAAACTGAATTAAACCAGAGTGTACGTTCTGCGGATTTAATTGAGAGAAAGTCTCAAATTGAAAGTGTGTTACAAATCAATGTATGTGGCCAACCACTGTCTGAGGGTTCACGTATAAACAGTCTATCACGTGATAGTGGATATGAACAAGATATTGATGACAAAATGTGCAGTTTAGATGAACATATTATGTTATCCGAGCAGTCGATATTTTCTGATAACGGAACCAGAGTCTAAACATCCACCGATATTTTCAACACTATATTCACATAATATTATTAATATTATTTACCAAGACACAAAATCTTGATTATATTTTAACTGATTTGCATAGTTATTCACTATTTTTATACGGAACGTTACGCACATATATTTGAACAACTCTGGAACGACACACTTGACGGCAATGCTAGTTAGTCTAAGTAGCTAACATAGTATTCAACCTTAAAGCGGAAGAGTCGTCACCTGCGCACGCGCGGGAATCGAGTTCCAAGCGACGATAACACGCGCTAACAAACGCAAAGGCTCATGGGTAGACGCTTGTTTGTAAACATTGTCAAGCTATGGCCATCTGACGCATGCGCATGTGACGACTTCCCCGCTTTAATACCAGGAGTCAGCCATATAAACTGTTTATGTTTAATTCCAGAAAGAAACTTTTACATATCTATATAAGTGTAATTTCAGTCTGTTATACATAAATAAACTGCTTGACCTCAATTGAAGTTAATTTGATGGTTATTCAAAAGGGCTATGTAATATGACATGCACATGCACTCCTCTTAGTTAATCATGTTTGTGATTGGGCTTTACATTCAAGTTTCTCCTGAGAAGGTGAGTTTGTAGAATATGTTCCTCAAGAATGTCATTCCTACATTTGGCATGCCTATACCGTTACAGGATAACATTTCAAGTCCTTTCTGTTTCTAGGAAGCCTTTTTCGCTTGGTACAACTGAAGTTAGTTGTTATAGAAACCTCTCTCCTCATGTATGTAAAGTCCTCTTTATATGTCCAGTATTGTTCGCCTAACATCCCTTAAAATACCTCCCACTGACATTAGAATAGTGACTATGAGTGACGCCGCACCAGCCAACCCTTTTACTGGACAATTGAGCACCTCAAAATTGGTAATGCGAGTTGTGTTCTAAAAATGCTCCAAAACGAACTGCCATTTCTGGAAGTATTTATGTCATAGAACCATGTCTTTTAAGGCATTATCAGAGTCTTTGGAAAGTCTGCTCCCACATTGGCCTAATAACAAGCCGGTAGGCTAGTTGGCGATTCGCTCCGCTCAAAAAACATGCAACACGTTTTCGGCTGTTGTTGTGGTAGGACATGAACGTGAAGATAACGTAGGTTTATAACTAAAACCGAATCACGTATACGAAGTTCGCAAAAAAACACAAAACATTCAGTCTTTAGAAGTTACTTTATTTTATTGTTAGGACGTATTCTGTTGTTAAATTTATTATTTCCAACCGTGGATTGAAGGCAGCATTTACAGTTCATTCAAAGTTGCGTTGGGATTACGTTGATACAATGTAACAATGTCGGCGCCAGTGATCTCTTACCAGTGTGCAACGTAGCCAAAATAAAAAGCATGATCTTTTGAACTCTGCTATTACAAGACTGGTAGGAGGTAAAAAATTGGGGCGAAAGTATTCAAAAATAAGTTTTTGGCTGTTGCCATGGCAGCGGTGGGTCAATTGTTTTTTGAATTAGTGACGGTACGACCTGCCTGTCAAGTATGGACAAAATCAGCCAAGCCAAAAAAAATCACAGAGCAGTTAAAAGCCGTTGCTGGTGAAAAGCTATCCCAACTTTCAGGTCAATTTTATCTGTAATGAAAATAGACATAAAAAAACAGTAAATTTATGCCCACACTCAAGCTGTGTAGAAT